ACATGTTTTAAACTATTTCTTGGAATGATTCAGTCCTAATGATTCATAAACACAAATAAAAAAAAATTGATTTTTTAAATGTGTACCGTGGAAGAAGTAGGAAATGGTTTACATATTTAATTGATCATTAGACCCGCTTTAGAATAATGTTTGCTTGACCTCTCTAGACTCGGGGTAAAATTATTGGGTCGGAAGGTAGGTGGTAAAATCTTTTTCCCAGAAAAATTTAAACATATTTGCTGACGGGATCTGAGGAATAAAAAGAAAAAAATATATCGTGTCTTAGAATTTAAAAAAAAGGTTTTGAGTGAGGGCATTTTAAGTCAGTCGGGAGAGGGCGACTAACATTTTTTTTAAAAAAAGATGCCTTGTTATAGATTTTACGTAATGGCTGAAATTAAAGGTTTCTGTCCTTGTTGCTTTGGAAACACTTGACAGGAAGTTTGTACAATGTTTAGACCTCCGGCTGGGAAATCTCTCAAGGTCGTATTTGTTTCTTTGTACAAAATTATTGTTAACTTATTCAATGATATGACAAGGGTAAACAAAACACAAAGAGCATATATTTCTTTTTACATATTTTTAAAAGAGCACGTTTTATGCCCCCCCTTCCCGAATTGCCCCTCCCCCTTCCCGAATTTAACCCCACAGAGTATAACGATCATTGTATATTTCCTTGCGTACTATTTCATATTGAAAATTTCAGAAAAAACCATAGACTTTAATTAAGATGAGCTTTAAAAGAAGAAATGTTGGTGAAATTTTTTGTAAAAATCTTAATTATTTAAGCTTATATACACATATTAGGGACATCATATAGATTTGATACTAAAGCTAACAAAAAAATTTTGTGATATTTCCGAATTTTTTCCTTCAAAATATTATTCATTAAGAATGGACAAAATTTATGAAAGAGGGAAGATATTGATAACTTTTGCTCAGTTTTCTGCACTAGCTACATTGTACATGTATGCGCTATTCACTGAGCAACAGTGGCTACATGCAGAAATAAAAGTGCCGTCACCAGGAAAGCAGATGGACAGATTGCACGTGGTTCAACAATTGAATTTTTCCAAAAAAAGCAGACAAAGATCAAAAGGCAATAAAAGCCTTCTTTTACTTTTTAGCTCACCTGAGCCGAAGGCTCAAGTGAGCTTTTCTGATCACAATTTGTCCGTCGTCCGTCTGTAAACTTTTCACATTTTTGACTTCTTCTCAAGAACCACTGGGCCAATTTTGACCAAACTTGGTACAAAGCATCCTTGGGTGAAGGGGAATTTAAATTGTTAAAATAAAGGGCCAATTCCTCTCACAAGGGGAGATAATCAAGAAAAGACAAAAATAGGGTGGGGTCATTAAAAAAATCTTCTTCTCAAGAACCACTGGGTCAGAAAAGCTGAAACTTATGTGGAAGCATCCTAGGGTAGTGCAGATTCTAAATTGTTCAAATCATGACCCCCGGATGAAGGGTGGAGCCGCAATGGGGAATCAAAGTTTTACATAGAAATATATAGGAAAAATCTTTGAAAATCTTCTCAAGAACCACTGGGCCAGAAATGCTGAAACTTATGTAGAAGCATCCTGGTATAGTGTAGATTTTAAATTGTTCAAATCATGACCCCAGGATGAAGGGCGGGGCCACAATGGGGAATCAAAGTTTTACATAGAAATATATAGGAAAAATCTCTGAAAACCTTCTTCTCAAGAACCACTGGGCCAGAAAAGCTGAAACTTATGTGGAAACATTCTGGGGCAGTGTAGATTCTAAATTGTTCAAATCATGACCCCCGGGTGAAGGGCGGGGCCACAATGGGGAATTAAAGTTTTACATAGAAATATATAGGAAAAATCTTTGAAAATCTTCTTCTCAAGAACCACTGGGCCAGAAAAGCTGAAACTTATGTGGAAGCATCCTAGGGTAGTGTAGATTTTAAATTGTTCAAATTATGACCCCCCAGCGGAAGGGCGGGGCCACAATGGGGAATCAAAGTTTTACATAGAAATATATAAGAAAAATCTTTGAAAATCTTCTTCTCAAGAACCACTGGACCAGAAAAGCTGAAAATTATGTGGAAGCATCCTGGTATAGTGTAGATTCTAAATTGTTCAAATCATGACCCCGGGGGGAAGGGCAGGGCCACAATAGGGAATCAAAGTTTTACATAGAAATATATAGGAAAAATCATTGAAAATCTTCTTCTCAAGAACCACTGGGCCAGAAAAGCTGAAACTGATGTGGAAGCATTCTGGGGTAGTGTAGATTTCAAATTGTTCAAATCATGACCCCCGGGGGAAGGGTGGGGCCACAATGGGGAATTAAAGTTTTACATAGAAATATATAGGAAAAATCTTTGAAAATCTTCTTCTCAAGAACCACTGGGCCAGAAAAGCTGAAACTTATGTGCACACGGAAGGATCCTGGGGTAGTGTAGATTTCAAAATGTCAAAATTATGATCAGTGGGGTAGGGTTAGGATGCATTATGTATTACAAGGGGGAAGTCTGGTAAAAACAGATTGGTCAAAGCTTCTCAGGTGAGCGATGTGGCCCATGGGCCTCTTGTTATTTTATAGTTTATCTTTTTGGCTTGCGACAATGCGTAAGTTAAAGTCTCCACAAAATGCAGCAATCTCACAATTTTTTCGACTTTGATAAAGCAGATACTCATCAGAGGGCAAATCAAAGTGAGTCTTTGCTCTATTTTTTGTTCTATAAGTTTATCTTCCAAGTTTGTAAAAACATATTTAAATCATTGATCATGAAGCTACATGTACAGGCATTTCCCATACCCTATTCGCCCATGTTCTTTGGTGCATTGATTGTCATCCTGAATTTGTGTGTGTTTCTGATAAAATTTAACCTTTGAATATGGCTAATTGTGAGGGATTGATTTGCTCCCTGTAAAGAATATTATATAAAAGAGGTATAGTGCCCTTTTCCCAGTATTTCGCCTTCTACCAGGTTTAAATGGAAACTACCTGTTGCTATTAAGCAGATTTAGTTGGTGCATTGGTTTAGGAAACCAATTTTGTATAATAAATATTCGTAACTACTTCTACATGTATATCATTTAAAATATTTAGCATAAAATGTTTGATTCGAGTTAAAAATTCATGAGAAATACTTATAAATATACGATAAACCCATTCAATACTTGTTGAGATAATTATGACTATTTCTGCCAGGTACTGGTATAATTTACATTTGTTTATAGCTTGATATACTAAATATCATAGAATATTGAAATATTTTGGATGTTTGTAGATATATAGGCTATATATACCGTATACTAAGTGCGCTATACACTTCATGTACCTATTTATAACATACATTTACTACATAACAAAATAGATTATTCCTTTTTTGGATTAAAAATTCAAAAGACTACTAAGCATTGCATAATTAATCAACTTTTTCTGTTGAGTTTAACTGTTGAGACATTTAGGTGTAAGTTTCTGTCAACCCTCCCCCCCTCCGCACCACCATCCCATCGGTAAAGGTGACAGCTGTTAGGGATAGTCTTGTTGTGGCCCTCCTAATCCCATGCAATACCATCAAAATCATTTTTTTTTAAAAAGCAATTCTCTAATGAAAATACATAAAAAATAAGCTTCAGTCTGGATGTATTTATTTTGGTAAAAATGAATAAATCCTGGTTTGCAGTTTATAATAATTATGTATAGAAATATATGACAGTAAAACCAGACACACAGTTGTATACATCACTAAAAGAAGTAAAAAATAAAAATTTCTTTTGTGATTAAAAATACAATATTTTCCATGTTCACAATAAGGAGTTTCTTATGGTTAACAATTTAGTTATATAATATGCTATAGCTGACCATGAAATTTTATCTCCTTTTTATCTGCACAAGCTAATATTGCATATTTGGGAAAATAAAAATGAACTTTTGATTGAATAAATATTTACATTACAAAGTACACAACTATAGTAAAACATGGTATGAACATAAAGGAATAAAATGAAAAATAAGATTTATACATATTATGCTGATGAAATCTGAATACATGGTAGATTTTAAAATGTAATAACAGTTAATATTATAATTTGAAAAAAAAGTAAAGGTAAAATAGAAAAAATATAAACAGAGTAATCCAAAAAAATATTTTAATTATATATATACCATATCATAAGAAAAAGATGGTGATAAAAAATAAACAAGGGACTTGGACCAGCCAAGGCAGTTTTGGGGTACATATGATCAACATACACACATGGTTAATAATTACAATTATTACATCAAAATAGATACATAATTTTGTTTACTATATAACTGATCTGCTTATTTTAACAAACTTTTAATTAAGTAACATGATATTGAAGGTAAATTGTAAAAGAACTAGTTTAAAACTTTTTTTACTGTAGTTTTAAAAGTCATCATAGATTATAAATAGTCAAATACTTCAAGTTTTCATATATATGGAAATAATATGATAGCATTTATACTTAACAAGGTACTATAAATAGATGTTTCCAATATATATTTCTACATTTATTCCACATACAGTAAATCAGTGAACATTTTCATTATTACATGTACTGCTTTTTGAAGCTGCTATTAAATTTCTTCCTACACATGCAATATATTGCCTTCTCTCTATATCTGTGTTTGACTAGATCTTACCACCTAGACTGTAAGTTCTTAAATCTATATATTAATTCAGTGATTAGATAAGTTATCATTCACAAAAAAAAAATTACTAAGATCTTGTAGATTGCATAGAAAAAATCCACAGTATTAAAATTTAATATATTATTAAATAATATTTCAAAAATTGCAGATGATATTCACAGAATTTGAAAAGGAAAAGGGGATAAGGTGCACACGGAGCTGTAATATACATACATGCAGTTTCTCATGGGAGTGGTTTGTCTATTTTGCATATTTTAAAACATATATACTTAGTGTTTAATTGAAAAAAAATCACACAAATTGAGACAATTCTAAAAAAAAAAATCATTGGTTATTTCTGCATAATGTAAAGAGAAAAATGGGACCTAATAAGAATATCAAAAATGGATAGTTTTGGATAAATGAATGTCACTTTTTATTAATATAAAAGGGGAAGAATGATAAAAATCAGTGAAATGAAAAATAAAACAAAAATGGATATGTCAAATATCAATATCACAGATAATATAAGCATCCATGCTCTAAGCACATACAGCCAAAATAATTATCACTGAATAATTTTACATTAGATATGTATCAGTACTAATTTTAGTACATACATGTACAAATGTACTACTTTTTCAGCATGATTTACCATGAAGTTAAAAAATAAACAACACTTTCTTTGATTGTCTATGAAATATCCCTGAAATTATGTCACAACTCTGTAATTTTACTTTGAACAAATGATGCATCTAGAGTAACTTGGTAGCTAATTAGGATCAATCAAAAATTTTGACATATTGTGATTCAAATGGTCACTAAGCATATCTCTATACAAGCAGTTTCAACCCCAGTTAGGTACCGTATCTACATCACCCCAAACTGTGTTGTGACTGCATAATAACATCCATTAATAATCTCAAATAACAAGAACAACATAATGTCAACAATCACTGACAATGAGGGGGGCAGGAAAGGAGGGGGGCCCTAGCAACACCCACAGCATTTCTTTTTCTCCCCTGGTTTGAGGTTCTTCTTTCCCAGAATGTTCATCAGACCTTTACTCATGAAGTAAGGCTTCTCTGCAGATCCATCATTCATTTCTAGGTCTTCCACTGTAAAACAACCAAAGAATAACTGCTTATACAAAGCAAATCGAATGTCTGTGGATGACCCAACTGTTGAAAATGTTATAGCCAATATGACAAGGGAGAAATTCAAATTGGAACTTTTCTGTACCCTGACTGAAGGTTTTAACAATTAAACGACATTTTACCTTTGAGGATCCCATAATTAACTTTTGATTGTAAATATAGATCATTAAAATCATTTTCCATTTTGATACTCACAGAAACACAGGAAGAGCGTGTCTACAGCCATCTCATACACACTGAAGAAACAGCAGCATATGACAAAGGTGCCAATGATTACAAGCTGTAATATACAGGAAAAGGAAAATAGTTTATTTTAATACTTAACAAGAGGCCCATGGGCCACATTACTCACCTGAGCACTAAGGGTAGGAAAAAGTAGAAAATGGCTTTTTATTGTAAAGTTTAAATCCAAAAGTAGTCCAATGACCAATCATGGATTTGCTATTTTTTAGAAAATGATTTTTAAAGAATTTTCCTATATATATCTTTAAAAACTTTGGTTGGCCATTTTGGCCCCGCCCTACCCTTGGGGGTCATGATTTGTTCAAATTTGAATCTACACTACTTTAGCATGCTTCCATATAAATATGATGAATTATGGCTTTGTCATTCTTGAGAAGATGTTTAAAGAATTTTCCTATATATTTCTATGTAAAAGTTTGGTCGGCCATTTTGGCCCCGCCCTACCCCGGGGGGTCATGATTTGAACAAACTTGAAACTACACTACCTAAGCATGCTTCCATACATATATGATGAATTATGGCTTTGTCATTCTTGAGAAGAAGATTTTTAAAGAATTTTCCTATATATTTCTATGTAAAACTTTGGTCGACCATTTTGGCCCCGCTCTACCCCCAGGGGTCAGGATTTGAACAAACTTGAATCTACACTACCTGAACATGCTTCCATATAAATATGATGAATTATGGCTTTGACATTCTTGAGAAGAAGATTTTTAAAGAATTTTCCTATATATTTCTATGTAAAACTTTGGTCGGCCATTTTGGCCCCGCCCTACCCCGGGGGGTCATGATTTGAACAAACTTGAATCTACAATACCTGAGCATGCTTCCATATAAATATGATGAATTATGGCTTTGTCATTCTTGGGAAGAAGATTTTTAAAGAATTTTCCTATATATTTCTATGTAAAACTTTGGTCGGCCATTTTGGCCCCACCCTACCCCGGGGGGACATGATTTGAACAAACTTGAATCTACAATACCTGAACATGCTCCCATATAAATATGATGAATTATGGCTTTGTCATTCTTGAGAAGAAGATTTTTAAAGAATTTTCCTATATATTTCTATGTAAAAGTTTGGTCGGCCATTTTGGCCCCGCCCTACCCCCGGGGGTAATGATTTGAACAAACTTGAATCTACACTACCTGAGGATGTATCCCCATAAGTTTCATCTTTCCTGGCACAGTGGTTCTTGAGAAGAAGATTTTTAAAATATGCCACTAAATTTTCATTAATTCCCAATTATCTCCCCTTGAATGAGGGCGTGGCCCTTCATTTGAACAAACTTGAATCCCCTTTACCCAAGGATACTTTGTGGCAAGTTTGGTTGAAATTGGCCCAGCGGTTCTTGAGAAGAAGTCGAAAATGTGAAAAGTTTACAGACAGACAGACGGACGCCGGACAAAATGTGATCAGAAAAGCTCACTTGAGCCTTCGGCTCAGGTGAGCTAAAAACCATCATAATAAATGTTATAGCAACCAAAGTTGAAATGTTAATGATAAGGCCAAAAGTATGCTGATGAAAATGAAGATGATTTTGACAAGAAACCATAATGATGATTATGAAATGAAATGATGTGATGAAAGAAGGAAGAAGAAACTTTTCTGCTAGAAAAAAATAAACTCTATATTGTATACTTACAATTACAGGTGTGATATAATAATTTAGTTCTGTTGGAACATACTCGGAAAAGTATGTAATTTTTCCTTGGAACCAGTAGTATGCAGCCACACCTAAAGGAAAAGAATTGATGGAGCAAGTTTATGGAAGACAGCCAAATAATCAGCAATGGCTAATCAATGTATTTTAAATAAAGAAAAAATTATCCCTGGTAACTGTAAAAATACCTCATGTGATTGAAGTCTGATGCAAAGGTTACACCCTCCCCCAATTCAAAGTTACATTTTCATGTCATCATTTTGTTACTGAGGTGTATATTAAGACAGTTCTTACCTACAGATGCTGTTACTAGTAGTTTACTAAGGAACAAAACATAATCTGTTATTTTGTCCAACACAACCACCCTGAAATCAAAATAGAACGTCAATGATGTCATCTGGTGATGGTAATTTCTATTTTAAGCTGCTTTTATCTTTATGTGATATTCCAGAATCTATACATAGTGTTCTTCCATACCTTACAATATTTCGTAGAATGAGGAAAAAGGCATCTTTGGCAGATGTGCAGAAATTTTTGCCATACACTGCAATCTGTCAAAAGAAATTTATTAATAATGCTTGACTGATATCAAGATGCCTTGAAAAACTTGATAAAATCAATATTATAAAAATTTTAAAAACAAGCAAGTGTATCCAAAAAAAAAATTTCATTCATACCAAAATGTAGGCATTTCTGTTTAAAAATCTCATGAATTTCTCTAGACACCAGAAACAACACTTCAGGATCCTGTAAAGAAAAAGAAATGAACAACCAGTTAATATACTTATTTAAATTGTCTTTCTGTTCAAAATAAATATGACAATTTTAAAAGTTACTTACTTTAAAAGGAATTTTGCTATTGCATTTTCAGAGCCTTTAAGCTTATGGTCCAAATACTCTAGCCCAACCCTTATCATCTGGATTATGGCTATAATTAAAGATCCAAATGCCAAGGATCCAAAATGGTACCTGAAACAAAAATCACCCTGATCATTCACTTAAGGTAGGATTCTTCTCACATTTCTTGTATTTAAAAATTAATGAAATTTTCACAGAATCAAGAGGACAATATCACTAAGTGATGGTATCAGTGAGATTAAATTTGACCGTCTAAAATTACTGGCAAGGTCAGGTCAAGGTCATTACCTTTTTCCTGGACATTAAGAATAAAAAATTACTGTTTCCAATCATGCGATCCCTACTTGTAATTCAAAAGATTGAATTTTTTTCTTTTTTGAAGCATTTAAAAGCCAATATAGTTCTAGTATGTGTGAAAAATCTTATTTATTTGATATATTTTGAAACTTTTGTCCCTTATTATTCATTTAACTTACATTTGAAAATTTCATCTACCGGGGGTAGTCTCTGATTGCATAAAAATAATAACTAAATTCAATGTTCTGTAATAATTTTGAGAGGCAGAAAAGAAGATATTTTCATACGCCACCATTCTGCCAAAAATATAGTCCCTGCTAGTTTTCAAACGCAGTTTACCATTTCTATTTAAAGTTGTACAATTGTGATGAGGAAAGAAAAATATGGTCTTTTAAATCTCTTACATCTAAATATAGAACACATATCAACAAATGTACCGTAATTTATGGAATATAGGTCGATACTTTTTTTCTCAGAACTGCTGGGGTCGCCCAATATACAGAATTCGACCTATTTAAGGCTCAAGTTTACGAAAAATGCCCCTAATCAGTAAAATTTACGTCAATTTCAAAGCAAATTTGTGTCACTTTCGTAAATTTTTTGATTATTTTTCGCAAAAAAAATTAATGCCCCGGTAAACAATAAAATATTTATTCTATAGCTTTCTTACAAAATAAATTCCATTAATTATCCGTTGATGACAAAGGAAAACAACATGTGCTTCATCTATTAAATAATTCCTCAAAGTATTGTCCATTAACATCATGCGTTATCCATCTTGTGAAGTTAGGAAGTCACGACCGTGTACTAAAAGTAAAACCGCAACCGTATCAAAATTTTAAATACGGAAATTTTTCACGATCACAACTGTAGTGTTTTTACCATTTATTAGTAGCAATAAATTGAAATAGTATATTAGATAGTTTTTATTGTCTTATGTTTATTTAAATGTATAATGAGTGAAATAATTTGTTGCCATTCAATTCCTAAATTTAATTACCTAAAAAAAAAAAACGCTATTCATTACTGTTTTTTTTTTTTATTTTAATTAATTATAATACCGGTAAAACAAACTTATCTTGAATATACCGATACAAAGATTGGCTTCTAACAGAATTATAATTGTCTGACAGATAAAGGGATTTACACTGTGTACGCAAAGGTGTTTAACACCTGTGTTAGTTTAAATGCCTGCGGGGCATGATTAAGAAACCCACGTGCCGTTATAGGGTATTAGTGTTACACAGCATTGAACAAACAAAGCCGTGAAATTCATGTTGACAGTCAAATTGTGAATGTACTCTCAATTAAATTTATAAATTAAACTTATAGAGTGTTAATATGATTTCAATTCTTTCCTGTTGCTTGATATATACATTCTATGGTCATTTGCGTGTTTTAGCAAATCCCTGGAGAAGAAAAATAAAAATGGCGGACATCGAAGTAATTGTCGTCCACCGGTAAATAATGTCTGAATAAAATTTATTAGGAATGTGTCCAAGTTGTTCTGAAATCGGAATTACTATTCTTTGGTCTTGGGTATTTCCCGAATTATAGCTGTAAAAGAATAACGCATTTATGTGTTATTTATGCCTCTGATTTAACAACAGTGTGAAACTACGAAGGCATTGAACAGGCAAGTTGGAGAAAAATAAGAAGTAACACAATTCAAAGAAGTTTTAACTACATTTTTTAAAAACTTTATTTAAATCCTGTACTCATTAAAATACCTGTTTATTTTTCTTGATACGTTCATGTCACAGAATAACCCCGGTAATTTTAGGGGTTTACCTGTTCTGATACGTTGTATCTGCGTAAGAATCTTTAGAAAACGGGAAACAAAGCCTTGTCCTATATAGTAAGTTCGTCCTATCTTAGGATTTTTCAAAAATTAAGGCTGAAAATGAGCCTTTCGACCTATATACCCCATCGACCTAAAATCCCGAAATTAAGGTACTTTGAATACTCTATCTAGACAGAAACCAGAGAAGAATCCTACCTTAATGTATTATTGGCAGAATGTTACAAAAGTTAAAAGCTGAAAGCCTTTGATTTGTTAATACTGTGGTTTCATTAATTTTTGTTGGCATCAATTTTCATGGCTTTTGTAAAACAGACGTTTTCGAGGATACGTAATTTCGTGGACAAAAGCATTGCCTATACAAATGAATAACATATTTCTTAATTCAATGAATATTTAAATTCGTGGATCTGCTCAACAACGAAATCCTCGAAAATTGGTGCTCAACGAATATTAATGAAACCACAGTAATCTGAAAAATATTTTCCAGATCTTAAAATAATTTTCTCCAAAAGTAATACAGCTCTGCATTTACATGTAACTAACCTGAATGTCCTCCACAGCGAGGCAGACAGAGGGAATGCTGGGATATCTTTCGGCTTCTGAAATGCCCAGTAATACGAGGCAAATGCACCCGCCAACACCATCTGTCCCATAGCAACCACAAAGTTCATAGTCCAGAAAAACATAAACAGCATGAAAACCTGCATCGTCACTATATACCTGAAAAGAAGGAGGTACACAATTATTGAGGATATTGCTTTTCAATTATTCTGGTTTAAAATTCTCAGAAAAATAGTGAATGAATCAGCATTATATATACATCCAAATTATACTCACTCTGTTCCACCATATTTCACAAAATCACAATAGGAACCTTGAGTTGTACCCTGTAACACAAATGCGTAAAATTTTAAAATATACATTTGAGAATACGATCTAAATGTCTCCAGCCATAGAAAGAGGTTGGGTAAAATGGAGAACTTACATCAGGTTCACACGGGATCCTGGAGAGATAGTAGTTAATGCCGTCATCTGTAGTGTTGGTGCCATTGGTGTAGTACTTCTGGTCTCCAATAGAAGCAATGTATCTTGTATGGGGTTAAGAAATTTCTTCATGTAGAAACAATCTTGTTTCATTTCAGAATCTATACTTTCAATAATTGGACTTATAAAACATCAACCAAAAAGACAACTCTACACGGTGTTTACTTAAATTTCAGATTAGCCTATTAGTCATTAAAAGGATACACAGAGCTGAAGCCAAAATATCCCACAACAATAAGCTGAAGGAAGAATGGAAAAACTGGCCATATTAAAGTAAAGATCATGTTCCCAATGGCTCTGAAAAATTGAAAAATATGTTAACTTTAATCATTTGAAAGTTGAGTCAGTCATCCATGATTAAAACATCAATTTAATTAAACTAATAGATACAGGCTTTTTTTTGTTAAAAACAAACTTTAAAATCTAAAAATAAAGTAGTGAATTCACCATCTACATGAAGTAATAATCTGTTTCAAAAATGATTAAAGCAGAAAATATCTGGAAAAGTGGGAAATTTTGTTTGATTCCTCCAAAACATTGGATGGATTTACAGAGTTATGCCTCTTCTCTACATTAATTCTAATATTAAAGTAATTCAAAATGAACAAACAAATTATTCTTTTCAAAAGAAACAGTTTTTGAATCTGCTTTTCTAAATTCTGTATTCAACATACCTGCTCCCCTCTTTGATGAGTTCAATAGCGATACAAATTCTATTTAGGAGGAAAATCAGCAGCAGAACAAATATGGACAAAAATGTGGCAGTTCCACAAGCTGAAAATAATATTTACCAGAAGTTAGTGACTAGTCAAAGAACTAACAGTTTCACAAAGATAAGAAAAACTGAAAAAAAAGCGATTAAAGTTCTTTGGAGAACAAAAATTGTAATACAATGTATTCTACATGCAAGATACCGTAAATCTGGAAATTTTACTGTAGATAAATTTTTAGCAAATTTGCGCGTACATTGCATTCGCAAAAATATTTTTCTTAAAAATAAATCAACATGTGAAGAATTTTTTTCTGAGAACTCGTGTCGTTTTTTTAACTCAGTGAATAGGCGTCAGTAAGCACTGGTCATTTTTAAAAGAAACCTGTTTACACTAGTCTACTATATAACTACAAGTTAATTACCCATGCGTGTAAATTGCCCTCATTATATGCAATATCGTCCGATGATTTGACAAGCACTGAGGTGGTATGCCAGTTTTTAATTATTTTCATCAATTAATTTGCCAATAAAGAGAGAACTGTCATTTTATCTAACCGTGTATCAACATGGGCGATAACTCAATCTCAGTGCATTTACTACAAAGTTCCAAATGTAAACGCGGCGTGTAAATTTTAGGTGAGAAAAAACCAAACGTTGAGAAAATTAGTTATACCGGTATTTTTTCTTCATTTGGATTATACTTCAGGTTAAAAGGCATACACAACCTCTAAAGTGTTTGTTATAATTGATTAAGAAATTATTTTCAGTGCAAATCCTTTTGCATTTTCATCAAAATTGTTTCTGAGCGATTTTGCAATATCTTGCCACGTTGCGAGTATATTGGTGGTATTCTTACTAGGCATATTATTTGAAACATAACCTGATATGAAAATCTTCAGTGATTTTTATTTTTAGCACCAGTGACAATTCGCAAAAATTTGAAGCGTAAGAATTAATCATCAACTTTTTGACCCAAATAAAAAAATAAATCGACGTAAAAATTTCCAGATTTATGGTAATCAGTAAAACAAACATTTAGCAAATAGCCAGGGATTAACGATTTAGATTCCTAATAACAGTAATTTGTTTATATCAGTAATGTTCATAATACATTTTTAAAACTAAAAGAAATGTATCCACTTCACTCTAAGCATGACTTCAGTATAAGCATGTTTGGTGTATCCATGTTTTACTGTACATTGTTATAAATTTATCCATACCGAATGCCAGCCAGGTTTCCTTGAGCTGTAAGTAGTAACTGAAGTTCAGTGCAAAAGCCTCGGAGTATCCCCACTCTCCCGTCACATTCTTGGTTTTCAGATCAAAGTACTGGGTATAACTGTAGTAACAGGCTACAAAGAGAAAGATCAGAGTTAAAAATTCTGTCTTAAAAAATATCCTGAAAGCCATGGAATCAGAATGCAACAAAATACATGCAATAGAAAGGGATTACAGATTTCTAGACACAGTGTAAAGAAAATGTCAGCTATCTTTAATTAAAAAATATTTAAATAATTGAACATTTCATGTCCCTGCTTTCTGTTTTTCTGACAGCATTTATTATTATACTAAAAAGAAAAATATTGGTGAGACTATTCATTACATTTTGCAAATACCAGTACAAGTAATATTGTACTTATAAGTACAAGTAATGCCTAATTTTGTTTTTTTTTCTCTTTTTTTTCAGGGTTTAATTTTGGTATTCATAACTCACCATAAGACAGAACTGCTAGTACCCCAAAGATGGTGAACCAGACAATTATACCAGTCAACCATCGCATCAGGACAATCCAAATAAAACATACCACCATGGCAGCCCCCAAAAACCTGAAAGAGGTGAACACAATTGTGTAATATACCGTATATCAGGTTTTTTCCGCGTCATGTTTTTTCCGCGAATCAGAACCTAAATCAGTATATTAAATTTACGCGAATCAAATTTTCACTATTTCAAAGTCCCAGTGATTATATTATTAACAATTGTTTAACCCTATGAAGGAACTGGATGTAAAATGTAAAATCATTAAGCTTGAGTTACTTCATACGGGTGAGAAATAGATCGATCGACCTTCACCTCGTCAATTTCGGAAGACCCACTCAGATAATTACACACCTGTGTTGCGTACTAACTAGGACCTATCAAAACCACAGATATTACTTTTTAAAGATTCAAACAATCATAGGTCATTTACTGTTCCAAACTGACTAGCAGCTCAGACATAATTAGTTTAATAGCTTCTTGCAAGGAACGTGACCCATATAATTAGCTAGCTTGTCAACTAGTAAACAAACAATAAGGGCTTATACCTACAGTATTACCGGTATCTTGCGCTTGTCCTCTGATCCCGCTATTTCTACCCTCTACGATATAAGCATTAAGAAATAAATTTACTACAAGAAGAAAACTTTGTATTAAATTTACGCTGATTTTCCGCGATTCAGAACTCGTCGCGAACAAAGCGGAAATTGGATACACGCGGAAAAATCCTGATATACGGTACATTTTATTAATGTTCTTGTAAATATTTTTTATCTTTCACTTCCACCCAAAGAGCATTAAATACCCATTAGCTTGCTTGGTCACAAATGAAATGAGTTGTTCTAACAAATTGATTCTTAAGGAGTAACCCTTTAATACATGAAACTTAAAAAAAAATGGCTTCCATAATATATAAATTTTTCATGATAATACTGGGGTATTTGTCCCCAAAAGTGCTCCATACATGTACAATGAGCTAAATTTTGCATGAATTTCATTTTTTATCTCCATGCATCAACTTAACTCTGTTTTCATAACAGAGATCATCATCTGTAATATTTCATTCCGTTGCTCTGTCAGATTCATCCAGAGGAGTGCTGTAAATGTACTCACACTAACAGTAGCCACCACGAGGCCACCACATCCTTGTAAATTCTCTCCACCACCTCACTAGCAGACATGAACTGAGCCAGCCAACTGAAGGATAAAACAGTATATGACTTATTTCAATCATTGAAACCACAGGCCTTTAGATCGCTTAGAAAAAAATTGAGGTGTTGAAAAAAAATAAAGGTACTGAACTCTTACACTGGGTACCTAATTTCGCTAATAAAATATTTTTTATTCTAATGCTTTAAAATTCTACTTTCTATTTAAATCTATTCATAGATAAACATTCTTCAATTCTACCAAAGCTCATTCTGAAATTCCATATATTTCTTGAGATATTCTGAAATCAATTTCAAAAATGACCTACTTTCTTTTACTCGACATTAGCTTGGGCCCCTGGTCATTCACATGTAAACAGACGGTGTTTGAAGTGCGGCGAAGAGTTGCAGAGTATTTTCAAAATCTTTCAACAATTTAAAGTTGATTTCTTACTCCAGTTTGTAACGTTAAGTCCGTAATGATATTCCTCTCGCAAAAAATTAATTTAAAAACGTCTACATCAACAACTACCGCCATGTTGATTATGAAAGTAAATGAAGCCATGGTAGAACGAATTTTTCCCGGAATGCATTATATACCTTTCGATTTTCAAAACAATTAGACCGCTAAAATGTTGTTTATGACTTAGTTACACCACCAGAAAAACCTTGTAAAGCTTGAATGCAAATGAGCAAATATTCTAGAACAATTTCCGGGGAAAACCACCTCCCACTTTATAATTAGTGAAGGAACTGAGCCATTGTCAATTTGGGAATTGATTTCAGAATATCTCGAGAAGTATAAGGAATTACGGAATGAACTTTGGTAGTAATGAAGATTGTTTATATTTGAATAGATATGGATAGAAAGTAAAATTGTAAAGCATTTGATTTATAAGAATTTTATTGGCGAAAGTAGGTACCCCATGAACAGAGTTCCATACCTTTATTTTTTTTCAATCATTGAAACAAACTAATAAATGCTTGATTTTACTTCACTGTTTGACAAAACCATACTTTCTTCATGAGTGAGTATAAGTATTGCTAAGCTTGCCTCATCCAAGAGGAACTTAAATAATACAAACTTATAACAAAGAGTCAGGGATGGACAATTTTTTTTTGTTATAAGCGTAATTCGTTATATCCATCAAGTTCAAAAGGGGATAATAAAGTCATGGAGAATAATAATCACTTCATTGTAAACATCAATTAAGCATGTTTGCTATAAAAATGTTTTACTGTTAATACATACTAGCTCAGTCAACTTATGAGATTCCTTCACTTACTAGCTGGCCTCGTTCATGGCATTTCCAGTGATTCCTTCCCCGTCTGTGTTGGTCAGATTGTAGCTTGTACCAGTTACAACAAGGTTCTGGGCCCAGTCTGTTATCTCCAGGAAAAAAGAGGGGATACAGCGGCCAACCACTGAAAATTACAACAATTTACATTCACTTCATTCTATGGAGATTCAATATAATGTAGCATCAAAAGTGGATGCTAATTAATTCTTCTTTAAAATTTCATTTTGAAATGACATGAAAACAAAATTATACCAGGGCCACTGGAAGACTTCTGAAAAGAAAGGGGTGCAGGGGAAGCCTGGAAAGAACGTGAGAGGTGCAAGCTAGGAGTTTTATTTTATAAAGTGAGTAGCATTTTGGGTGGTTTCTGTGCATTCTGAGTCATTTTTCAAATGAACGAATGTTGTGGTTTACATGACCTTTACAAGGTTATTTCATTCATATGAGACTTCACCATAGACTGGTTAAGAACTTTACTTGAAATTCAGGGTAATTTTTAGCCAAAAAGGGGAAATGTAATTGCAACCCACTCTCCCTCTCTTACTCTCAAAAGTGCAGCTCCATACACTACTCTGACTTTGATTGGTATCATTGAGTTTGGCATATATCTTTGGCGTGCAAAACTGAATTACAATTGATAACAGATAACTATGGGGCGCTGTTTTGGTATTTACTGCCAAAAAGTGATATCACCTATTCGAATAGGTGATATCACCTACTGGAAATGAATAGGTGATATCACCTATTTGTGCTGAATAGGTGATATCACCTATTCGAATAAGTGATATCACCTATTCAATTTGAATTGGTGATACCAATGGAACCAAGAAAATTCGAACTACCCAGTTTTCATGCGTTTTTCCAATTTTTCTTTAAAAGTTTACTTGATAGATAAGTGAAATAAATTAATTTGTGAGCAAAACAAACTACAATTTCTGTAAGGATTGATTAAAATTAAATGCAAAGTCTCCTAGAATGAAGAGTTATAAAACGAAAGTGAAAGTAAATAAGATTTAGCCACCCAGGGAGCTGTTGTTATTTCATAAATAATTTGAATAGGTGATATCACCTATTTGAAAAAGTGATATCACCTATTTGTGCTGAATAAGTGATATCACCTATTCGAATAGGTGATATCACTTATTCGAATAGGTGATATCACCTATTCAATTTGAATAGGTGATATCACTCATTCGAATAGGTGATATCACCTTTTCAATTTGAATAGGTGATATAACTTATTCGAATAGGTGATATCACCTATTCGAATAAGTGATATCATCTATTCGAAAAAGTGATATCACCTATTCAAATCAAATAGGTGATATCACCTATTCGAATAGGTGATATCACTTTTTGTGATATCACCTATTCTGTCACCTATTCAAAATCTGAATAGGTGATATCACCTATTCGAATAGGTGATATCACTTTTTGGCTGTAAATACCAAAACGGCGCCCCATAGATAACAGTGACTCCCCACTATTTATAGACAACCTGTCCATTTAAGGTTCTAACCTTGATCAGATTAGACAAACCGTTTTTGCTACTATCAAAACTGCATGCTGATGATAGATCATTTTTGAATTATTTTTAAGGCATTGAAACCTTAAATCTAATCTTACCTGGAGTTGATTTGACATAATAGGGGGCACAAGCTTCTGAGGTTACCAGATTACTGACAGAGCTGGCCTGAAATCATGAAAATTACAAACTTCAGTTCAGCGAGATTCTACCAATCGGTATGGCCTCTCATTAATTCAATTTTGCCTCTAAATTACAGTGTAAGATTTATTCTTATTGTTATTGGATGAATTCAAAATAAAGTGAATTCAACTGTCAAGAGAAAGAAATCTCTTTTTACACAAATTTTTAAACAAGAGGTCCATGGGCCACAATGCTCACATTAGTAATGTTAATCATGCTGTTCTTAACCAGATTTTCCTCTCATTATACTTGATGTGGCCCATCCTATGCCCCACAGGTTATGATTTGGACAATTTAGAATCTACACTACTCCAGGATACTTTCCCATAGCTTTATTGGCCCCATGGTTCTTGAGAAGAAGATTTTTCCTATACATTTCAATGTAAAACTCCCTGGATTCACAATAGGATTACAAATATCCTTATTGTGGCCTAACCCTACACCTGGGGGGTCATGATTTGAAATAGAATCGACACTACCAAGCGAGCTAAAAAATTGTTAAATATTTCCAAGTGTGGTTCCAGAATACAGTACAAAATAATGTTAAACCAATAATATTTATTTTTGCTGCACATGCAACCTAAGATCTGCTCTTTTATTATTCTGCAATGCATTGATCAGATAAGAGTTTTAATGTGCTGCCACTTACCGCAATAGTATCAGTTCCTCCTTTACAGATCATGTCTGTAGCTCTGTCTGTGTCAGTTTTAGTTCCAGCTGTCTCTAGTGCCTCCTGATATAAATAGTACCAGTATGTCGAGGGGCAGGTCTTCACACACACCTGTAAATGGACCTCAATTAGAGAACTTGTATATCATCAAAGAAATATACTTAATATAAGCTTAAATATTTGAAATTCTATTTTAAAATGATCTGATGTTCAGTACTTGAGATATTGATAAGTTTTAAAACAATTTCTTGTTAACTTTCTTTAAAGACAAATATAATTCAAACACTTTCACACAAATGGGTGCCTGCATGAAATTCAATATATATTTTTGGGCTTATTAATATGGATGTAAATAATGCACAAATTTATTATAAGATTAAACATTCTTTTTTAAGAATTTATTGATGTGTGAACTCATGCCTTTTACTCACAAACTGAAGCACCTTTATGTAAAGTTTGTGAGTAAATGAAGGCATGAGTTTACACATCGATAAATTCTGAAAAAAGAACGTTTAATTCCTATAATTCCCATTACGAATTTTAAAAATTATTAAAATTATTTCACTTTGAGGCCTCCATATTATCCGTTATTATTGTACCACGTAGGAATACTTATATGCTGTGAAGAAACGTAATCGAGGTGAATATCGATAAAATTCAACTAAAATTGTCGAAACAATCAATAAATAAAAACTCATTGAATGTTGTTTAAGTCAACAAATATCGTAAATAAGAGTATACTCCAGAATAAATCGTCCTTTACCATGGCCATGTTGACATTAACGACAACGCTTGAAGAGCGAAAGTTGCAGACCGAGGATGCCCTCTGTTTACTCTGGTTTGTTCAAAGATTGAGGAAGAATATAGGCCTAGGATGTAAAAATATGAATTTGATGCTTATAAGGCAAGAGTCTTAGGTACGTTTCTTTTCCCTATCATGTACAAAGATACCAAATGAGCTCATTTGCTTCGTATTAGATCGAACGTCGAGCGATTTTTAAATTTCACACTCGTGATCCGACGGTGACATAAACACAATATTATCGTCTTTCGGTCCTGTTTGTCAACAGTTTTGTTTATTTAATTTCAAGTTTCGTGTAATCATTATTAAGCTAAAACAACCCCCCTAGGGCCTAGTCTTAACTGTTTTCATTGTTTTACAACAGCCTAGAAGCTTCGTCAAGAGAGTGGTTCTGATTGAAAAATTTATTGATGTGTAAACTTTTTCTTGAAGTTGCTCTCGTCCAATCAAAACACAGGAAATCAATAAATAAGGTTGAGATTTGACTTATAAAATATTAAGAATTTTTGGTAAATGTTCTCTTAATGACTTATGTTCCACTTCTACCTTTTTGTTGTCTTTTTAAAACAACTTTTCATCAATTCATAATAATTACAATGTATTGTGAAATTTTAAATGAAATTATTAATTTAATGTGTATGTGATTCAAAACTTATTTGTTTAATCATTTAATCAAAAAAAATGTTTTTAATCTTATGGCCATGCAAATTCTATTAAAAAGTTTGTAAAATCCATCATTAACCTAAACCATTGTTGATTTTAATGGTAATTAATTAAGATTGATTGATTATATATAAGTTTAAAGTCACATTCGAGAATTTTTCACTCTTGTGGAGATGCTGGGAATTAAGAGGTTAATGTCAAAATATCTGAAATCAATATAATAATAAAATATCAAATAAAGAACAGAAAAACCAATAGTACCTGTGGTGTAGAACATCCTGTGATGATGACTGCAGATCCTGACTTGGCACATTGTAACATGTCAAAGTACACCAAATAGGGCTTGTCTCTGAGAGGAGAAAGAAAAGTTAATATGGTACATTGTAAGATGTCAAAGTACACCAAATAGGGCTTGTCTTGAGAATTAAAATAGAGAAATCAAGGTTAATTTGACACATTGTAACATGTCAAAGTACACCAAATAGGGCTTGTCTCTGAGAGGAGAAAGAAAAGGTTAATATGGTACATTGTAAGATGTCAAAGTACACCAAATAGGGCTTGTCACTGAGAGGAGAAAGAAAAGGTTAATATGTCACATTGTAACATGTCAAAGTACACCAAATAGGGCTTGTCTCTGAGGAAATAGAGAAAACAAAGTTAATGTGACACATTGTAACATATCAAAGTACTCCAAATAGGGCTTGTCACTGAGAGGAGAAAGAAAAGGTTAATATGTCACATTGTAACATGTCAAAGTACTCCAAATAGGGCTTGTCTCTGAGAAAAGAAAGTATAAAACAAAACTAATTCCCATGATTTTCTTGATATTGACATAGCACTCACACTTGTGTATGATATACAGAAAATAAAATTTTATAGTACTGATTACAGTCTGTGATGTTTTTGATATCACTGATCTATAGGCATCATATTCAGTATTGGACATGTATGTGTTCACTTTATTCATGATGTATAACTCACGTATATCCAGAATCATATCCACATATATTTCCTGTAGAGTCTGTAGGATACAGGAGTTTATAGGGATTTCCTCTGGCATATCCTACAATTCACAGAGGAAAATCATGTCATTATACATCCAATTACTAGGCATTTGAAAAAAAAAAATGTACTTTTTTTTCCTGGAAAGAGAGATGTTTGACTCATTCAGGCTCATGATAAAAAAATAAACAGGAACATTTAATATAAGTTTGTAAGCCAGGTAGTATATTATGTCACCTAGAAAATTGATGAGATTTCATATAACATTCTGTTAATTCATATGTACTTCATTTATAAAAATTTGAAATTAAATTTTTATTTGCTGTATAACATATATTTCCTACCTATTGCAGAACACACAAACATCCCAGCAAGGAAAATCAGAAATAACAAGCAGCAAATGATATCTGTACATGATCTGTAAAATAAATTAACATTGGTGAAAAAGAGTTGTTTCTCTTTACACAGTCAAACATATTTTTGAGATCAAGATATCTGCAGCTATTATAGGTGTAAATTTAATCCATTTAAATGCATGTCACTAATGGGAATCTGAAATATTTTCTACATAGCTGAGCTTTTTAATCAATATCCCATTTAAAGTCCAGTCAGTAATTCCCTATCATATCAAAGGGGTTTTTCTGCTTACAAAAATCATTTCCAATAAATACGAAAACTTGAAAGCAATTCAGTTTCAATCTGACACCTATATGGGCTAAAAACAACAACAGTTGATTTAAATGTAAAGTTAAAATGTCCCATGGAAACTTAATCAAACGCTTACTGTAATATTAAAGTACACAAGTACCTGTGCCCTGTGGACAGGACCCCCCACCCCCACCCCCTCCTAAAAATCTTTGTTCACATAATATACTAGAAAAGGTTAGGAAATGCATTAAGGTAAAACGAGATGGAGAGAAATAATAAAGTATTACAATAAACCATGGAATAAAACATGACACAGAGTGTTACATTCTACATGACACCTAGTGCATGGTGTTAATGCTGGAAGGGGGGGTGGGGGGGGGTGGGGGTAATGGGGTCCTGTCCATCATTTGTTGTGTCTTGTGTGGTAGGTCTGAAAGAAATTTTACCCAGTCCCCTATACATTCCCTTTTAATTACAAACAATTTCATACAAAAAATAAATTTATACTAAATATACACATGTACCAGTGCATTTTTAAAGCAATTGCAATCCAATACGCAAGTTTCGAGATTATCTCCCTTTTTGCGCTCTTTCGTTGAGGAGGGGAGTTTTGTTGCCACGTAAACAAACAGCCGGGACAGATATTCATAAATTGGATATATCGCATTATCGATATACTGGTTTATCGTAAATATATATAATTGTCAAGATGCATTCTTCAACTCGAAAATATCCCATTTAATGTAAAGGTGTCATTTTTTAAGGCAAAAAAATCAGAACAAAAAGAATATATCAGAGGACGTGAGACTTTTCAGACGAGGAAAGAGATATGTGGACATCTAAGAAATATACACATGCATCTGAACATTGTATGTCGGCAATCTAAATGACACATTGATTACTTTCCTTATTATAACTTAAAAAACCACTAACTTTTTAGAAAATGTTTGTACAATCAAGAAAATCTTTTACTTTTTATAAAGACCACAATGTTTATTTTAGTTTCAAGTACCCTATAATTGCAAGTAGATTTGTAATTTTACACAGCTTGATAAAATCATAAAATGCATCACTGCTTAACATTATTATCTTTCTATAACATTAAATAATTATTAAAAGCCATAAACATCGCTCATTTATTTATGCACGTTTGTATACAGAAACAATTACCTGTCCCACCTTCATGCTGAAATGGATACTTTCTGCGCCTCTATCGTAGGAGAGTTACAATCTCGAAACTCGCGTATTATTTTAAATCATTACCAATTTTTTTTTTTTACTTGAAGTACAGAGTACAGAGTATCATAATCTTCAAACTCAATGAAAAAATACTCTAGCTGCTTAAGTCTGATGATCCTCTTTCAAATCTGTGAGAAAATGTCAATAACTTTATAAATGCTTAATCCTACACTTTAAAACTTCTTTTCATAAAACTTTTTTATTGTATTATATATATTTAAGACATGTTTAATCAGAATATCATATCAGTTTTGTTGTATAAATCCCACATTTTTGTAGGTCTTCCGTAGGTCTTCTCTAGGTCTTCAATTACCTGTAGGCCTTCAATTAGGTATTCCCTCCTAAAGTGCATGGCAAATGGCCACCACCCTTATCAAAGAATTGTGTCAAGTACATGTATTATTAAAAGTGGTTCATAATTTGGTTTCTCTAGCCATGCTTTCAAATTGAAGAGCTGGCTTCAGCAGTTTTTCTGAATGGTTACAAAAATTTAATTGGATCCAAAAAATGATGTTCCTGCTATCAAGTTTTCACGGTAATGCACCCACACATCTAATAAACTTCAAGTAAAATTTCTTGCTAACTGTGGTAGTTAGAGCTGTGTTATAATGTACTTAGTATTTTAGAGGTCATAAGGATTATTTCTGAATCCAAGTTGTAAACGTTCAAATGTTGCCAGTACTTTAAACAAAGGGCTCATGGGCCTTCACAGTCACCTGAGTATAAAACAACAATCCATAGAGGATCTATAGAGTATAAAATAAACTGATAAACTGTTGCCCAAAAGCAAGAGAAATATAGGATGAGCAGGATCATCAAAATAATGTCTAATTCAGTAACAACTTAAAAATTCAGAATAATTAGTCTAGTCTTCATTAACAGTTCATAAATTAACTACCAATTAGATTTTTTGCTACAAGATTTATTTGTATATTGGCACCACCTACCCCTGGGGATCATGATTTGAACAATCTCGAAACTACTCTACTGTATACCTTTTTTCATTTACAAAAATTTCATTTTTGTGGATCGAATGATGCAAGACAGTATGCTGGAGAAAATTTCATTCATATGTGTATTAGAATTCTAAAAGATTATATATAGCATTAACAACAAATACTGGATATTCTGTCTCACTAATAAAGAGTCTGTGTCTATGTCACAAATGTAATATTTAATGATCTATAGTACAGTGTACCTGCAGATATTTCTGTATTTAAATGAATACCTGGTATCACAAAATGACACAGACTTAGCCCCCCCCCCCCCCACTTTTTTTCTTATATAGACATAGATAGACATAGTATAGGCAATCAACATTGCGGTGTAGGTTTAGCCCCCCCCCCCCCCTTTCTACAGACACATTGCAGTATAAGTCAAAAAAGGGGAAATTAGTAGTGTTTGAGAAAAAAATGATACTGTAAGAAGTTCGAAATTACATTCAGTGGTAAAAGACCTGCTAAATAAGAGATACATGTACAAGATGGATGGACATACAGTTTGACAAATGGACAGACAGTCACTCTATCAATATGCTCTCCTTGCCTTTCAAGTGGAGGGTATAAAAATAAATGAAAATGCTACTACGATATTTTTTTTTAATTAAATGGCCCTAAATGGCCTTTTCTCTTGACTTCTTGATTTACATATTAAATGGTCCCATTATTTAGGACAAGTGGGGCCATTAAGCCAACCAATTGTACATATATGTTCAAATTGTCTTTCCTTAGAGGCACTGTTGCATCTCCCACATGTATATCTATTTGGTTTTGAAAGGTAAGATGTTTGTGGTTTCCCTTTGCATAAAAAATGTAAAGATTAGGCTATCTAAATTTAATTCCCTGGTTCTCAGGCCATTAATTTTCTCCAAAACAGATGCAAGAGGGAGGCATTTTGTTTATCATTTTATTGGCAATAAAGTAGATGAGGTAGGTATTTTTTAATTTTCAAATTTTCTTTAACATAAAGATAATTTTTTTAATCACAGATATACTTTCCATTTCTGCTTTATCCATTGCTTAACAGCGTGTAAACATCGTAGGTAATGTCCTCAAATGTATTTTCAAATGAAGGTGGCAGAGGATAGTTTTTTTTGCAATCAAAACGTTTGACTGACGGTTTACTTAATATTGAGCTGCTTTTAAAATGTGCATTGAAAAATTTTAAATTCCCTCTACATGTAATAATAGTATGATGTAGTCCCTTGAGAAATTTGAAGCTTTTAGGAATAAAACATGTACAACTTACACAATGAGCCCTAAAGATTCTCAAAATTTTATGTGAATCAAGCCTATTTTCACTATTTCGCCGCAGCCGCATCTGCTTCCAGGCCCGTGCGCCTGACCTAAGCTACCACACAAATTGCAGAATAACATTTGTACATACCAATGAACAGCAAGAGATATGGGCTCAACCACCTCGTTTTCAAGCTACAATTCATCCTGTTAACCCACCCCGCTTTTCTGGTGAAATACCGGTAGAGCGAGTTTTGAGCTTAGTTTCGTATTTCTAGTCCATATCCCATATACAGTAGTAGTGACACTAAAGTGTCATATTTCAATAAAATACACAAGGCCACCAATTCCCTCCAAATGCACCCATAAAATATTCTAGCTATAAAATTACCTATAATATGCATTCAAACCTCAGGTTTCTCTATTTTTTCTATTTTTTGACCGGTACTTTATTCGAAACTATCCTCTGCCACCTTTAACTTTCAAAGTTTGTCTTGCAATTAACAAACCTTGCTCAATTCAGAAAGAACATGCAATTCTGAGTAAAAATATACCAAATATGTTTTGATTCATTGAAAAATAAAAAAGTTATGGCCAAATAAGAGACCTCACCAATTCTCGGTCAACCACCTTAACCCCATATTGTTTGTTCCACATAAAACAAAAGCAATTCTTACAACTCCAAATGATCAATACACCATCAAAAAAGTGTTAAATGGTAATTTTAATCTATTTCAAATACAGTTATATGTAAAAAGTCAAATATAAAGTGCACATCTTGGTGAAATGTACTCACATGTACCACATACTCCCCTATTTTTCATGTTCTGTGAAATTCCATTTTATCTCTTTTTCACTTGGTTTTATATACCTATAACTCTTTTGCAAAGTTAAAACCCCTTTCAACTTTCAAGATATTTTCATGATATATGAAAACCCCTCTTGCATCACATGCTTGTCCAGGAAATGGCAGTTCAACACCCTACCCCTGCAGCCATTTCTTCAGTGTAATGTAAATGCACTGTAAAAATCTGTTTCTCCTAGCTGAATTTTTTCTAAGTGTCTGATATTCACTTTTAACAGTTATGAGTAATCAAATACATACATTTCATTCTCCTGAAAACTAAAAGTGATTATTCTGTCCATCCTGGGCAATTGTGGGCAGATTATATGGGCCTAGCAGAATTCAATAATTACATGAAAATGCACATTTTATTGATATTACTTCATTAAATATGCAATATAAACTCCTTGTTTTGTTATTATTCAAAGAAAAATAGTCCTTTTATAGCAAACCATTGAAAAATTTAGATTCTGTCACATTTAAATATAGATAAATTAAAAATTAAAAAGGGGGGGGGGGCATATTTCATGAAAATCATAAATAAAAGAATAGGTTAAATTTGGAAAAAAAAAGCAAAAAAAAGTTTTTTTTAATATATATGGTTAGGTTTAGTGACATTTAGGTATGACTGATTTTTATTTTCAAAATATTTATATTTAGTAATTTAGGTGGAAAAAATGGCAAATTTATGTAATTTCAGTGATATCGCACTAATTAATACACTTAAATTCTAATTACATTTAATTAATTAAAGCAAGACATGATTTTAATTACGACAATACCCAAAGTATCAAATTCAAACAATTAATTTATTCTCTGGCAAAAAATGCCTAAATCTTATATGATTTATTATGCTGATGGTTCAAAGTCATTACCCCCCTTGCTTTTTAGTGAATATACCCAGCTGTACAGATTTTAAATAACAGAAACAAAGTATTTTTTTAAATTGACATACATGAATAAACCCTTTTGTATAAAAATCAGACTAAAATTCACATTTCTAAAAATTGATGCATTCTTGAAGGTGGCAGAGGATAGTTTTTTTTGCAATACGTTTGACTGACGGTTTACTTAATATTGAGCTGCTTTTAAAATGTGCATTGAAAAATTTTAAATTCCCTCTACATGTAATAATAGTATGATGTAGTCCCTTGAGAAATTTGAAGCTTTTAGGAATAAAACATGTACAACTTACACAATGAGCCCTAAAGATGGCGCAGGGACAATCTCAAAATTTTATGTGAATCAAGCCTATTTTCACTATTTCGCCGCAGCCGCATCTGCTTCCAGGCCCGTGCGCCTGACCTAAGCTACCACACAAATTGCAGAATAACATTTGTACATACCAATGAACAGCAAGAGATATGGGCTTCGTTTTCAAGCTACAATTCATCCTATGAACCCACCCCGCTTTTCTGGTGAAATACCGGAAGAGTGACTTCTGATCTTAGTTTCGTATTTCTAGTTCATATCCCATATACAGCAGTAGTGACACTAAAGTGTCATATTTCAATAAAATACACAAGGCCACCAATTCCCTCCAAATGCACCCATAAAATATTCTAGCTATAAAATTACCTATAATATGCATTCAAACCTCAGGTTTCTCTATTTTTTCTATTTTTTGACCGGTACTTTATTCGAAACTATCCTCTGCCACCTGAAGTAGCCAAAATCTCATTGTAAATGGCTACCGGAAGTGATATTTGAATACTAAACTATGAAACGAATGAGGTCGAAATTTTTTTTCCCGGATTGGTCTCCGCAAAACCAACTTTTTATTTTATCAAAAATACAATAAAATCGGCAATGCGGCTACCTCAAAACGGATGCGCGCGGGCCTGAGAACCAAGGTTTCAATTTTATATGGCCTTACAAACAGTGACTGAACTCAGTAAATCTGTATACAAACAATATACATAAATTAATACATATCTATGAATAGGTCACAAAACATGGACCCCCTGGAATTTTCATATGTAGGATTTTGTCTTTTTATATACTTAAATCAGTGTCATTTTAAGCATTAATGGCTTAGGTAGCTAAAAGCTAGTACGTCTAGCTTTGCAATGTCTCTAATAGACTGTTTTTGCTTTCTCATTTTGAGGATTTTAATTCAGCATCTAATATTTGAGTAAGAAAATTGATTCCTTATCGATTTACTGTGGTCTATTTTTATCATTTATAGAGTGAAGGATCCCTGGGGTTTTATTTACTTTATTTTCAAAGTAAATAATTATGGAAAATCCTTAATTCTTTGTTTATACAAGATAGGTTTTACAAGATATATGATCACATATGACATCTTTGGTGCAGCCTTAAACTTAATTCTAAATCTGCCTGAAAACCAAGACACACTTTAAGCCGTTAATTATAATAATAATCATACCTGTACATTTATCTTGATCAAATAAACCTTACCTGTTTTTAATTGGTCCATTAAAGGTTGGATCATATTTCCGGGGATCACCTGAAGATAAAAGCATATTTTATAATCATTCATGTTAAATGGCAATTCATTTGATTTTTCTTTTACTGTACAACATAGTTTTCTTTTTTTCTAATATTGCCAAAAATTTTTTCACCATAAGACTCAAGTACATTATTAAATGAATTAAGGAACAAATGCATACACTTAATAGGAGACAAATGTCTGCATGGTGTATATAAATGTGCATGCACTTGAACTATGTTTTAATTGATTAACTTCTTATATATTTTTTAAATAAAACCGAAACATCCAAATGTTATGATATACTATCTGTCATGCCTGTGTAAGATGAGCAATTGAATACTTCAAAATACAAGATGTAGAAAGGATAATATATTGATTTACAATAGAATGACATTGTGAAGGCAAACAAAATTATCAGTTAACAAAAGAGAAGAGATATACAGTATGTGCAGTGTTTCCATATGAATGAAGATTTACAATTCATGGGTATATACATAGACAGAATTACAATTCTACAGATCGTATTGATACCCGTGTATTCCGAGACATTTTTGGAGGCTTTTTTGTCCTTTTTGCCTTTGCTCTTGTTGGCTCCAGATAGACCTTTCACTTGTTCCTGGAGCTCAATTTGTTTGTCTTTTACAAAAAGTAAATAAATTTTGAATCTTCATTGAAGTACGGCAATTACAATCCATTCACAAATTCTGCTTTTCTTGAAAAAGTAAAAAATCGAACAGAGGTTGAACTAGCAATGTTGCACTAGTTCCAGAACTCTTAGAAGATTTTCAAAATGGTAAGAAAGCAAATGCATGGTTAATCTAGGTATTGGTGTGGTCAAACTTTTTATAAAAGGAGGATCTAGCTGATCTTGATTCTTATCCAATAAAAGTTGGAAGTACATGTATGTACGATTGGGCATTTCTTTAATAGCTCATAAATGCCTGGTGTGTTTTGCAAAAAATCTGAATTATGACTAAAACAAAATTTTTCTCATTCCCCAGAGTATCTAAGCTGTAAGTAGGAAAGCAATTTTTTTTTTTTTAAATCTTATATTTCTATTACACTAATTAAGTCACTTCAAATAGATACATCTTTTAAACATAAAATTACAGAAATGTTTAATTTTCATCAACAACTGTTTGTGAAAAAGGGCCAGTGAATCCAAACAGCTAAGTGGGGATGGAAACATTGACAATTAAAAAAGCCAAAAAAAAGGGGGGTTCACTTAGGCCAAAATAAAAAATACCTTTGTTTCCCCTAACGCGACCGACCCAATTAAATCGCACCGACTGAAAAGATTTTTGAAATAAGAAGATTCAATTATTTTTTTTATTGTTAACTAAGTTTCATAAAATACAATTTCATCAAAATCAGTTTTTAGCAGAACGGCCGACATTGTTCTACTGTCATTTGTTGAAGAAAATGGCGCCAAGGTGTGATTACTGAGAAAAAGTTATTAATAAAACAACGGCGACGTCTCAATCTTATTACTTTAGCTAACTAGAATTCTTCACTCTTGAAACAATTTGATAATAAAATTTACCATGACTAATTAAGAGTGTGTGTCTTGCCTCTCCATGTGAGTGAATAAATTTTCGAAAGGGTCGGTAAACAACAAACAAACCTGTCTGTTGAATTTAAGGTACGTAATACATGGTACATGTAAGTCCCGCCTAATGAACACATCATTCAATTTCACTACATTTTATTTAATTTGAGTTTTGATCTAATAACCAGTTCATCTATGTTCCTATGTTTACTATATGCCATTACGGAACCATAGGAGTTGTTGTAAATATGTCTGCATATTCATCCTGATAAATATAATTCAGATTTTCTCTCTTTAATGCCTTTATTTATGGGTTAAACTTCGTGACTATGACATTGTATATACATGTACCATATTTATCATTTGTAGATTCAGTTTGAGTCAATTAAATATTGTTTAAATACTCTTTACAAATAGTTTTGAAATCATGATTCAGCAGAGCTTCCTGAGACGCCCAGTGTATTTTTCTTTAATTACGCCCTCGAAGATTGGTTGTTTCTTTGCTTTTGATCCCTTCGAGATTTGTTTGGACGACATTTGAACAATTCCCCATTGCTCAAATTTACTCAGCACTTTTTTGCCATTAAGCATTTTTGAGCCAGCATCTTTTGCGAGACTGGACATAAGTTTTTATGGTCCCTTTTGAAAGACTGTTTTCAACGTTCCTTATTGGTATTTGGACCTGCGACTTAAAATTAGACATTTACTTCTTAACTCTAAAGCAAAATGCTCTGGAAACACTGCAAATCTGACAAAAAGTACATTGATTGTGTATAAACTGGGGGCTGATGGAAGGTTTGAAAAAATATACTCGGATGTCCAGTCTTTGCATATTTGAGAATCTTATCTGTATCTATTCAGTCTATATAAATGTACTCTAACGTGAGATATCTCACAAGTTCAAATATAAATAACAGTTGTAAATTAATTAATCATCAATTTTCCTTTAACATGTTTAAACAGCATATGTTTGATACCTAGCATTTTGTTCCCAAATCGCTTTCTTTTGTACTTTTCTTACTTAAAGTTTTATCTATTAAATTTTAGAACGTATTGTCAAAACTGCTGTCATAAAATAAAATTGTTTACCTACCTACCGACCCACATTGAGAATTCAGGGTCGGGTTAGGGGAAACAAAGATATTTTTAATTTCGGCCTTACAAGACTCTATTGATGTTGAGGTGGGTGGGGTATGGGTTAGTATGGGAGAGGTATGTTCAATGTGCACAATTTATAAATCCATCATTATGTAGGAAAATACCCTTTCCTCACATCTACCACTGCTGACTTCATGTAATACTTGTACTCCATGACTTTATGAATAAGTAGTACATTAGGTATATATACATGACGTGTATATTATGTCAGTGGTGGATTAAGTTTAAGATTTACAACATGAACAATTAACACAAGGTATTGCAACAACAACAACCCCCCCCCCCCCCCCTCTCATTACATAGGCTAAATCATGATTAAATTTTCTGAAGAAATGGGCGTGGACAATATTTTATTTCAGTTAGTCATCTGTATTCTTCTACAACTCAACTTTGACTTGGTAAATGATTTTTGTGCGAATTTCTCCTTAAACGATCAACTGAAATTGTATTGAATATTGACTGTGCTTGCGTGGATATTTACTATGGGCTGCAATTCAACCGTAAATTCACCTGGTCAATAATTTTATAGACCTGCATTGATAACCACCGGGTTCGATATAGTGGCGCTCAAAACACCCTGCCTGTTTTACAAGTACAGCACATGAACTCCCACTTTCTCCAAGTTCCCATTAAGAGATTTTGAAATTTAAATTCACTGAACCGTACATCATGCCAAAAAACACAATATCATTCTTCACCGATAATGAAAGTCCAAATATAGAAGGCTTAGAAAATCTTACCCATATATTCTTTCTTTTCATCTGAAGATTTTTCGTTATCCGACGATTTCTCATCTCCAACTTTCGCTCCCATTTTGCCCGCAAAATGGTCACTTTAGATCCAGGAAATATCAATAAACTATTTACAAAAACGAGATTCTTGTTTACAGACGACCCAAAAGAGGTATATGGGTAGAATTTAATCCCCTTTAAACCGAAATTGACGACAATGCGCCTTTACATGCCACGTGACAGCGGGGGTTTCTCATTCATTGGCAACAGCGTCAACAAAAGGTGTTCTGATCACGATTTTAGTAGTTCCTGCATTTCATTTTAACTGTCGGGTTCTTTTTATTTTTTAAACAGATCAATTAACGATAATTAAACGAAGTGGTCATCGTTGACTTAACATTTTCGTCCTTTAAATGGACGGAGCTTACTGTGTACGGATATACGAATAGGATGTGGCGATGAATGCATTTCCTGCTGACGAAATGTTACATTGAACCCAAATGTGTTTTTATTTCAATAACTTTATCAATTATATTATTATTTTGGAAATAGACTGAAACAATTTTTAATAATCTAAAAACCTTTTAAAAAGGGAGTAATTTTGAAAGGAATTAATTGGAGTGTCATTTACTGAGCTTCAAAGATGCAGAAAACGAACAATTTTTCTCTACAATATTGATTATGAAATTTTATAATTATATTTTTGGCATACAAACTTTTTTTTTATCTATGAAATGTCCGATGAGGGGATAAATATTGTATGAATTACAGACTCATAGCAAGGAGTTTCAGTTTTTGGAGTGGGAGGGAGAGCGCGCAATCTCTCAGAAATTCCTTGGAACAATAAAAAAATTAAAAAAAAAAAAAGGATCCACAGATACTACTGGCCGGATGGGGTGGGGCGTAATTTCCCTTTTTGTATATGTTAAAGTTTATATATTAGAAAAAAACACTTCATCCGCTTTTTTCTGGGAACAGTCTTTTTGCGTTCGGTTTTGAGACGTAAAAATTCATTCATTTAGATGCTGCTTCACCTCCACCCCACCCCTCAATTGCACGAGGTGATATTTAAACAGAACTCTTTCCGTATATGTGATCCCAAGTGAATTAATTTAGACGACAAGGGCCAACTGACAGCTAAATTGTATGAGGGACAAGATGACTTCAGCTTTTTCCATCGCCAACCTTCCTTATTTTGACGTTTTATTATAAGGCCTTTGTATTTCAACTTATTTTAAATGGTGAATGTTGAGTCTACCTGATCAGACCTCAATCATAGAAAGCTGCAGTAATGTAGCTCTCCGAAAAAAATATATTGACAGACCGGAGAGCTACAGACAGTACCATTGAAAAGAGTGTATATTTATTGCGCACAAAAAAGTGCGCCAATTTTCGATTTATTGTTCCACGTTTCAAAAAATGCCATCTTAAAATATTACTAACCGTGTGTTCTTAACATATTTTTTTTTCACTGTTTTAACAACAAAACATTGCTTATATATAACTGTTGTTAATAGCCTTCCTGGCCCTGAAATTGAGACCATCGACATTTCGCCTATTTATACTGCCATTTTGGTTTGCACTTATAATTCTGTCAAACGAGCTTCGTGCAGATGTTAGCTATGATTGATTGTATATTGTTTAATGTCCATCTCGAGAATTTTTCACTCATATGGAGACGCCACCACTGCCGGCGGAGAGGTGCAAATTTTGTCCTATGTATACGCAGCACTGAGGGCCATTGAGCAGGGAGGGATCTTTTTTGTGCCAGCACCTACTGTGACACCTGACCTCGGGTTTACACGGTCTCCTCTGAAGGACCGGTGTAACGTTGAATTTTGACCCGAGTTGAAAATGGACTCGGGAGGGGGGTCATTTTTCAACGTTGAATACTGAGACCAAAGGTGTTGAATTCAGACCCTAGTCCGTTGAAAACTGAGCCGGGTCGTGGAATTTTGAACATGAAACCGGTTCTGAATTCAACAGCATAAAAAGACATATCTATGAATTGGTTTTCACAACAATGATTTAATCCATAGGCGTTTGGAACGGGGGAGGGGGCTGGGATGCTTAGCCCCCCACTTTGTTTACAAAGATAGACATAATACAGACATTGAACAAAATGAAATTGGTTTAGCCCCCCCCCCCCCCTTTCAACAGACACGTTACAGTGTAGTCTAAGAAAGAAGAGTAAGTGGTAGTGCTTGAAAAAAAGAAGAAATTGGATCTTACAGGCTACTGACAGATAAGTTTGTTAAATAAATTTCACCAACCTTGTTTAAAGTCAGCATTACTGACATACTATGGTCGATATATGGATCTTTTTCACAAATATGACGTATCACTGGATTCAATTTGCTCGATGTGTTTCATTCTAATTTTTAGGCTATTATTTGGTTTATTTTCATACTGAATTTGACTCGATGGGATGTTCTGCCCACCTGAAAGTTTTTTTAGGTCAAACAGACAGATATACAGACAAACGGACGGACACGACAAAAACTATATACCTCGAAACTTCGTTTAAGGGGGCATAAAAATATTTAAACCCTGAGATGGGGTCAATATTCAACACGGTCAATTTTCAATTTAATTAGGTCTTCAGGGATAAGAAAAAAATATCAAGCCGTTGAAAAATGACCCCGGGTATAAATTCAACTACTTTTGGTCTCAATTTTCAACGGAGAAAAAATACCCTGGTTCAATATTCAACGTTGAAAAATGAACCCCGGGTCAATTTTCAACTCGGGTCAATCTTCAACATTACATCGGTCTCCACGTCCCACAAAGGGATTTGAACCCGCGACGTAAGGATCAATTCCTTACTGCGCGACTCTAGAGCAGACGCTCTGACCACTGCGCCACGCGGGCGAGAGTACTTGATAGAGGACCGAGGACTTTGTTAAAATTTATCTTTTTTGAAATTGTTGAAATTGAAGTGAGAATTTGGAGCGCATTTTTTGTGTGCAATAAATATTCAGTTTTTGCTATGGGTGGCATTGTAGCTCTATCCCAATTTATTTTTCAGACCAACATGCTATGTACAGATCTGCAGCTATATCATAGAGAGAACAAGATTTGGATAGGAGAGAAGGATTTATTTTTTGCTACATTGTATGTTTAAATTTACTGATACACAAAGAAGATGAACTGGAAATCCAAATGAAGTGTAGTTTGAGGGAAAGAATGCATTGTATTTGAAAGACAAACATAAAATATAAGTAAAGATCACGTGATTTCAAGCATGGTACAATTATTTTTCCAACTAAAGGTTTCATGAAAATTCCCATTTATAGATTTCATAATTGAGCTTTTTTTGTTTTTTAAATGAATGTTATGTAATAGCATACTGCTTATTTGGATAGAATGTTTATTAATAAAACAGAAACGTGATTTTTCTCATTTAAAGATTTTGGGGTTTTTCCCAATTTTTGATGATAAAATAGATATGTTGCTGTAATTTCCTCTTAACAACACCGCCAGACATCATTTAAATCAATTTCTAACGGTTACCACTTGAAAAGTTCTAATTGACATTTGACATTATCATAACTTGGTAATGAAGACCCGACTTCAGAGAGAAAAAGTCTCAGAGTACACAAGAACTCTCAGTAGACGATGCTAAAAATATATCAAAAACTATTAGGCCTATGCATGTTGTCAAAGTGTTTACAAACTAATATAATTGTTGTTAAGTTCAAATTCAAAGGAAATGTGTTACCTTGGAAAATATATGTGTTTTGCAAACAGATTAAGAAATGAATTGTATGATTAAAGATATAAATAATTTATTAATCCATTCTAGAGGAAGGCACCCTCGATTACAAATCCCTTGTCAAGCAGGTTGGAGGTTGTGCAAGGGGGTAATCTCCCCTTCTCATGAAAAATACAAGGACTAGGAGTATTTCATCTTTTCTCGAGGCATCAGAATACCAGCAGCAACCTGCATACATGAAAGCAACCAGTGAAAGCCAATTGGAAGCTGTTGGAATGAAAAGTAAACTAAGCACAAGAACCAAACTTAAGATTGGCTTCTGGAATGTCTGTACCATGTACGAGGCAGGAAAGCATGCTCAAGTAGTCAAAGAGATGAAGAACAACAAACTACTCATACTAGGAGTAAGTGAATGCAGATGAACAGATTTTGGAAAGAACATGACAAACAGCGGTGAGCTGCAATCATTTACTCAGGCAGTAAAGATGGTAGACATCACGAGGGAGTAGAATTATTTTGAGTAAAGCAGCAGCGAAGTCCCTGATAGAGTACCATCCTGTAAGTGAGAGAATGATAAGAGCAAGATTCGACACAAAGCCTATTAAAACATATATCATACAAGTCTACGCTCCTACAAATGAGGCAGAAGATGAAGCAAAACAAGACTTCTATGATGCACTTCAAGCTGATCCCAAAAAGATCCCAAAACATGATTTAACCATTATCATGGGGATTTTATTGCAAAAGTAGACCACGACGACACAGGATATGAAATAGCTATGGGAAAATATGGCTGTGGTACCATGAATGAGAATGGTGAACATCTGACATAGTTTTGTGGTAACAACAACTTGGTTATAGGTGGAACATTTTTCCCACACAGGGAAATACACAAGCTGACATGGGCATCACCCGGAGGAAGAGATAAAAATCAAATAGATCATATTGTTATTAATGGTAAATGGAGACAATCTCTTCAGGATCTGAGAGTAAGACAAGGTGCAGATGTAGGCAGTCATCACCACCTTGTAACTGCAGATTTTAAACTTAAGCTGATGAAAACTGTGCCTAAATACAGCAGGAAAAGATTTGGTAACGGCAAACTAAATGACACCAAAACCAAGCAAGATTTTAGGTTGGAGCTGAAAAACAGATTCTATATCTTGCAAGGGAATGATAAAGATGAGGAACAGATATACTAGCACTGGCAAAAAGTAAAGGATACAATTAACAATGCGAGCGAGAAAGTTGTTGGTTTCAGAAAACAGGTACATAAAGAATGGATAACACCAGGTACATGGTTGCTCATTGACGGCAGAAAAGAACTAAAGTAGAGGTTGTTAACACACATACAGAAAGAATCAAAGACAAATTAAGAGAACAATACTCAGTAACAGAGTAATAAAGAAGGTCACAAAGAGGAACTAAGAACTTCATTGAAAATATGGCAAAAGAAGTTGAAAAGGTGGCATCAGAACCAAGAAGCTAAGTGGACATAAAAAAGAAATGCAAGTACGGGTATGCTAGTAAGAGAGAAGCAGGAAACAATGGTTGCATCTGAAAAAGAACTATGATGGAAGAAACATTTTGAAGAGATACTGAACCGCCCAGATCCAAGCAACAGAGCAGAACTACTGAAGCAAGCATCGACTTAGAAATCAACATAGACAAATCATCAGAATTGGATATGGTCACCGCAATCAAGAGTTTAAAATAAACAATAAAGCACCTGGGAATGACAACTTAGAAGCCGAAATATTCAAAGCAGACCCTATCCTCACAACTGATATTCTTCATCCTCTTTTCTGCAAGATATGGAAGTACAACATGATACCAACAACATGGTCTGAAGGTAGCAGCATCAAATTACATAAAAGAAAAGGAGATCTCACAAACTGTAACAATTGGAGAGGTATTACTTTACTCTCTATACCAAGCAATATATCCAGTTAAATAATTGTATGCAGAATTAAGACAGCAGTAGGCAGCAAGTTAAGGAAAGAACAAGCAGTCTCCATAACAGGAAAGAGCTGCTATGACCAAGTGTTTATATTAAGAAACATAATAGAACAATGCACAGAATGGCAAAGAAAACTCATCATAAACTTCACCGACTTTGAAAAAGCTTTTGATAGCATTCAGTTTGTGGAAAATCCTGAGGCACTATGGTACAACATCTAAAGTAGTTGACCTAATAAAAGCATTCTATGCAGAAGTTAAATGCTCTATTGGTAGTTCTTTAAACACAAGCTTTCTTGTAAAATCAGGAGTAAGACAAGGATGTGTGATGACAGATATTTCTATAAAGCTTGCAATGTGCATGGTTTTGGTATTGAAATCATTGTCAGCAACTGTTAAAATATGTCAGCAACTGTTAAAATAATTTATTTATTTTAATATATTTTGGAATCATTGTTTAAAATACTATTGAAATCAATATTTTAATCCATATTGAAATCTTTATTTCAAAATTGAACATTATTTTAATAGTGGTCGTATTTCAATAGTGGTTACTACCTGTGTTTTGTATTGAGATGCACTCTCACTTACTATTGAAATAATTATTTCAATAGTTATTTCAAAAGTGGTCGTATTTCAATAGTGGTTGCAACAGCCCTAACCACTATATGCTACATGGCTTATGATGATTGTGGATATTTAAATCATGTTTGTGATATGACCTTTGACTTAACAGACTTGAAGTATTTCTCGGAAATATGCGAATGTTTTGCCATAAAAGTGTACTCTTAAGGTATAGTGGGTCTTTGCTCCATGTTTTTGTAAACCAAAAAAAGTATATTTTATTGCAAACTTATAGGATTATCTTTCAAAAAAATGGAGTGAAGACCCACTCATATTAAAAGAAATTGTTAAAGTATGAGAGAATGATTGTTTTTGTTCTTTTTAGTGGGTGTTGTATGCTTTTCCATATAGGCATATATTTTCAGTTTTTGTGGGATTTTTGTAAATTGTAGAGATTTTACATTTAGTATACTTTAGTATAAGATGAAATATCAAATAAAATTTGGATATAATTGAGATTTAATTTTTCACTTCTTATCTGTCGATCTATAAGCATTTCGTCCGCCTTATCCCCCTATCTTCTTTTTGTGTTTCAAATATTCTGTCAGACATTGAAAACTAAATGAATTTCCTTCACTTGATTTTTTTTTAAATCATATGAAATTATTTAGAATTTATAAAATGATTTAGAATTTGGTCTAGACTAGTTTGCTTTATCTTCCCAAATAAGAACATTTTGAATCATGAACACTCATATCTGACGATGACAAACAAATGTTATAAATATAGACAGAACTCATGGAGATTGTATTTATGTTAATGTTATTTATTTCTCAGTATATTCCAAATATATTCTAAAACAAGAGATCCACAAGTAACAAAAATGACATGAATCACTTTGGCACTGCCATTTTTTATCATGCAGATATTCCGCATTGTAATATACTTATTGTGGTCCCACCCCACCCCACCTCACCCCACCCAAAGGGGTCATGGTATGAACTATTTAGGATTTACACAACCTCAGAAAGTTTCCATACAAGTTTTACCTACTGTAGATTCCTTATTTTTCGCGAGTACTTATTATTGCGAATGGGCCCATCAACGTCAAATTGCGAGAACAATAATTTGCAAATGGATGATTGATCAATAAATTTTACATAGATTTCAGCACCATAAAAATAAAGGCAAGTATTTTTATTTTCCAAAATTACACAATAATTAATTCCACACGTATATTTAGGAATTTACAGTATTCTAGTGTGGTGGTTCTTGAGAAGATTTTTAAAAAATTAATTGCTATTTATTTCCCTGGTACCAATATCATGTTGTAAATTTTGAATTTACTAGGGGGAGGTAAATGCAAAATTTACAACAAGTTATCATGTTGTAAATTTTGCATTTACCTCCCCCTAGTAAATTCAAAATTTACAACATGATACCAAGATATCTGACCTGTTGATCTTAACAGAGCTTAGATTTTGCAAGACTTCTTCAGAAATTATAAAAAAAAAAATTTGGCCAATCTTTTGGACAATCAGTGCTAGGACTTGAATATTGCACTAGTGTACTTTTTGTGAGAAGACCTTGCACATGTACCAAAAGATCAAAATGACCCTTCAACCCTTACCTTTTCCACTTTTAAAGAACATACGTACCTTGGCCATCACTTGACCTTGTGTCCGATCTGATTAAAATCAGATCCTTGTTCCTATTTATTTTTTTTTATTGTACCATAAAAAAATGAAGGAGGATATCATTTATATCAGACTGAACCTAAGATAAAGGTCAAGGTCGACTTAAATCCTCGATTGCATACAATATAGGTCATGTAC